TAGGGATTTAATTTTGTATTTCCGCTTGATATAACTGCATTTGCGTGTTGAGTCATTTGTGTTTCTAGTAAGCTCATCCACTATCGAAATCTTACATTTACTTTATTTCTAGCTTCAGTTTAGCTTTCCAAGCTGGCTCTCTTTGTATGTTGTTTGATTTTTTCATTGTCTTCACTCCAAGTTTCCCAGTAACTGCTGAAGATGTTGTGTATATGATATTGTTAATTTCTGTAATGTTTCCCAGTGGTTTGTTCCTTAACAGTGTTTCCAATGCAGCGTTGTATATTCTGGAAATGTGCATATTGGGCTTTGTTATATGAATTTTTGGGAGTCGGTCTTTTTTTGACATTTGTATAAGAGTTACTCTCCTGAGTACTTGGATGACGTGGTTTTTCGCTTGGATGATTTCACCTCTGTAGTTTTCAAGGAATTTTACGCTAGTGTATTTGAACTCATCTTCAGTGACATCGTCTAGATAACTACAGATAATGTCACAGGTAGATTCTTCGGTTTTAATTTCTGGGAGATTATTATTTCGTATGTCATTTATTTTAGTTTTTACTTCATCCCCTGTCATATTATTTACTTCCGCACTCATCTCTTCGCTGTTTAAGTGATAGGTTATTGTATTCTGTCTTAGATCTAGTTTTATCTTATCTATTTCTGCATTTGAGACTTTTTGTTTCGCACGATGTCCCTGCGGACATGGGCAGGCATGTTTGGTTTGAAATGAAGTCTTATTTCACTTCCTACGCCAGTTTTCCATATTTGGTATGTCTGGTTTGTGGTGTTTTTTGTGGATTTTCGAGTGCCGTGTAAAAAGATGCATGACTTGTTGATAATTTTCGCGAGACCATTTCGTTCGCTTTCTTTTTATTAGTTGATTTGGCATTGAATCACTTGGTTCAAAGTTGGAAATCGTTCGGTTTTGCTGACCAAGTATCTCTTCGTTGCTGAAAGTGTTTTCATCCAGTGACAGATTTTTTAGCCACAAACTGGTTCCTCTCTGAGGTGTGGGACCTTGTTGACGGTCGATCCGTTATGAAGATTTATTCGTAATCATAGAGATATGTAATGTTTTGCGTTTTATCCTTGACTGACAAGGGGGAATTTTGTTCATGCTCCAGAATAAAACAACAGGTGCCAAGTAAGATCAGGAACTACACCTTGGTTTCAAATGAACTGATCCCAAAAACCTATGTACCCTCAAATTTTAAACAATTTATAAAGAACAGAAAGTGTATCGCTGCAGTTAGCGTTGACTGGCTTACTGTTTTGTCCCAGTCAAGCTATTTATTTCACCTAAAAGTAGTAGTGTCAATGTATATCAAGTCTCGCAAACCTTCTCTCTGTAAACAGCGTGATTGTTTGCTGGGGCTTGCTATGATTAGTCTCTAGTACTTGCCCACCCGTGTTTTTTTTTATTATTTTTGCTCTCTCATCAATCACTTGCAAATTTTAAAATAATTATTGTATTTTACTCTTTTTACTCCCGATTAAAAACCTTGAAGGGAAGGTGCCAAATCTGTGATATTCCTCGTTCATTTTTCTTCTTTTTTTTATTATAACTAATAGTAATATTCGGCTAAATATTTTTACAGCAATACTCAACTAAGAATATTTTAAATACACACATACACACACACAAACATATAAATATTTTCAAGTGAATATTATTTTAAAATATTTTTGTTGTATTAATAAAATATTTTTAAGTTAATTTTATTTAAAAAATATTGTAAGTGAATAAGATTTTAAAATACGAGTAAATATTTTTATTTCAACTTTCTTCAAACAGACATTTTTTTCTCTTTTTATGTTGAAATCAGCTTCAATGTTTTATAACTTAAACAGTCAGTGACTAAACGGGCCACGGCTCATCTAGTCAGCAATAAGAGTCTAAAAGGGTTCCAATGTTCTGCCCGAATCAGATAAAAAAAATAAGATCTGCGTCAAAAATTAATTAAACTAATAGATAATAGGTACCGATTACATATTAGATATATCAACAAATAATATAACATAGTAACATATCACTAAAATTAAAATATTATTAATTTGAAATTTAATTTGCTGCTTTATACTAATCAATATACATACATATTCACATAGACATATATACAAGTACACATACATATGCATACAAATATATACAAATTATGTAATATTATTATTATCATTACTATTACTACGACTACTACAACTATTATTATTATTATTATTATTATTATTATTATTATTATTATTACCACCACAATTATTATCATTGTCATTATTATTTTTATTATTATATTTTTATTTATTTATTATATATTATTTTTATGTCAGTATCCACCATCATTATTATTGTTGTTATTATTATTATTGATACCATCATTATTAGGTGTAACATCATTGTTCATCATAACAAATAACATATCAATTATTATCAATATATCAACAATAATATCACAGATAATATTATCATTAACATAATTACAATCGTTAATAAAACAGCTGCAGTTGTTGTTAAAAAAATGGAAACGTCATCGCCATGTCTACAGACAGGACACAACTTAACTCATGTAGTGATGGTAAATCTAAATCAATGAGGCGCTGGTGTACATCTAAATATGTATGTGTATGTGTATGAGTACGTGTGAGCATGTCTGCCGGTTCAAACAGACAACCTGAAAAATGTCAAAGCCACTCCCACCTGTCCCCTACTAAGAGAACATTGCTAATATTTCCGAAACGCTACAATCTTGACACTGAAATAGGCAGAATGAAGTTGCGTGAACGTCATCTCAAAACAAACACAGAACAAGAAAACGTCTCCCTCCCACCACACAAATAAAGAAACACAAATAAAGAAATACAAATAAAGCAAAAATAGATTCACTTTTGACAAATTAAACCAGTTTGTCTGAAGATAGCGAAAACGTGAAACCTAAGTTCACAAACAACTCTCCACGCAACTGCATATGTTAGCTCTATCACGGATATTGAGCACTTTGCAATAAATAACGCACTTTAAAGAACACGATCGTGACACCAGCAACTCTAAAGGGATCTGTCTAAACCATATACTAAAGACCTATACAACTATAGATAAGTCAACATAAAATTTAACCTAGAATTCTAAACAATTTGCATAAATCAGTCCAATTTAAGCTTTGCATCAAATCTAGTAATTAGGAAATTTTTGACAAGTATAGAAGCAAATATATAGACGCCTTAGAACAAAGTAACCGTGTAACAAACCTAGAGTACTTATAAATAAACGAAAAAGATATCAACAAGCCGAAACACCCTAAATGCAATAACATATGGTTTGACCCACCCTTTAGCAACAATATCAAAACTGACATCGGAAGTTTTTTTTTCCCAAATTTAATCCATAAGCATTTTAGCTATTCCCCAACGCTAAAAAAGATTAAAAAAAAAACAACGTTAAAGTGAGCTATAGTTGTGTTAAAAAATTGACCAATATATATCACAACATAATAATATTATAGAAAACAGGCACTTAATCGACCTACAATAATCCCACAATTCAATTGCAACTAACGAAAAAAAAACAAGACCTGGCCGCTGAATGGCAAGTTCATGACTAAAGGTATAATTTATAGAGCTAGCACTAAACGTGATGTCAAAGTCAAAATCTATTGTGGTTCAACTGAAAACTATTGAAAAACATGTTTCTACCACCACCAAATGACGTTAGGCAATATTAAATATAATAACACCACTTCCCTCTCTATTTTTTCTGGAAAATAAAAATCGGCAATAAAAACCGAACGATTAGCTGGGGTTAGGTAGCAAAAGTCAAATCTTTCAGCAGAAAAAGCAATGAATGCAATTTACGTATTTTAGAAAAAAATGTCATTATAAAACATTTTGCTAACCGTAATTTGTTAAACAAAGAGTTAATGACCACATACATACATAGAAACAAAGACCTGCTCAAGCACGTTGATTCAGATTAATATAGGTTTTTATCATTCGGACCCGTCTTATAATGCTATTACTGTTACTATTATTATTATTATATTAGTAATATTCATAATAATATTATTTTTATTATATTATTAATATTACTATTATCTATTAATAATATTACTATTGTTATTTTATTATCAATATCACCTTTTAAGTAGTTTAACCCAGGCTCGAAAAGAGTTATCCTTTGTAACATACTATCTATTCTTTTTAACGTATATTGATACCAGCTTTCTCCGTTGCTGAAATTGAAATTGCTGAAGTAGGAAATGTAATTTTTAATTATAAGTGTAAGTTTGAACCTAAATTTTAATTTAGATCATAATACAATTAAATATTTAATAATTATAATAATTTATCAAAATAACAACGCGTGACCCATAAGTTTTAGCTAGATAACGGCCACATCATTTAAAAACCAGATAATTGCATAGTGGATAAAACGCCGTCGTACAGTAGGCGTGCTATATATATATATATATATATATATATATATATATATAATAAAATATAATTTTAAGGTATTCTATATTTATGAGTTAGTGCTCAATGTCATGGATATGGTGTATGTAAATATAAAATGGACATTGAGGTCAACACCCAGAGGGGACAAGGTGACAATGCTAAATTTAATCTTAATCGTCGGACGATATGGCCTGACGATTGCGTTTAGCATGAAACTGACTGTCGCCTTTGGGTTTTGGTTTCAATTTTCAACATATATATATATATATATATATATATATATATATATATATATATATATATACAGCCACAAGGTCCTTGCAGTATTCGGGAATTAAGAATACGGTTACATGTTAGCAATTTATATACAGTTTACAAAGCATTTACAATACGCAACATTTAGAATATCTAACAAAAATTGGCTCATAGATTAAACGAAAGTGCTCGGAATAAACAATCATTTGGACAATTTCTGTGCCATAAATAAACTAAAAAACTTGACAGGTCAGTTATTTTATGTGCCCTTTGTTAGACAGGGATTGCGGCACATATACACGACTACATAGATAGATAGATAGATAGATAGATAGATAGATAGATAGATCTACATGTGTAATTGAGTGTGTGCCATTTGCGAACAAATTCTTCTGCATATTTCTTCTGAGACGTTTTTAATTTCCTTTCTTTTTGTTCTCTTAAGTATACTTCGGTAATCTTACAACCACTATTAAAACATTTGCAAGGAATGTAGAAAAGTTAAGATAAAATTGTTTCCGACATATTTTTGACAAATGTCTACGTCCTCTTGTGACCTGAAAAACCGCTTAGTTTTCTAAAATAAAAATTTCAGCATTTGCCTAGATAACGTCCATCAATAAATAAAACGCGTTGGCACAAAAGATTCCACTCTTGTTATTCCTTTTTGTTATATATATATATATATATATATATATATATATATAACAAATATCTCTATCTATCTATATCTATCTATATCTATCTATCTATCTATCTATCTATATATATATATATATATATATGTTAATGTATATTATCATGATGTTGTTTTGGGGCATGTGGAATTCCGTGTGTTATCTTCTACATAGTAGTTTAGCTGTGTGGAGTTCTTGCGGAGAAGTGTATGCTTTTTCGGTAGTCACGTGCTATACGCGACTGGTTGACCTGGGCATCACTTATATCTTTATAAAACATTTAACATGCCGTCTCCACTGCTAAATAGTATAAGATTGATAAAAGGGTAACGGTATTTAATCAGTAATACTTCTCTAATGATAAGATGTCTACGACTATGTGATTTGAAAATGATCTTTATATTATCGACTAAAAATTTCTTTAAAAGTTCTTGCAAATTATTGGTTAATAAATCTTTATTAATTGAACGCTACTTCGAGAGGTGACATGTAAGGAACCTACTTAAGGAGAGAGTAGTGTGTCCGATACAAGTAACTGATTTTTGACATGCAACACAGTCATGTAGTGGGCATCAAAATTGTTATATTATATTGCTCACCGCTAGTTTAGATTTGGTGGAGTTATTTCGGCTCGTGACGACAAGGTTTATGGTCTTCCAATTTCTATAATATTACTTATTATAAAAAGCAGATTGTGTATGTGTGTGTCTGTACGTTTATATATTGGATCGGATTTCCTACATTTTTCAACCGATTTCAACAAAATTATTAAACACCATATTTTTGCTGTAACCACTGAAAAGCATATAAAGTTAATAATATATTATAGAAAATGGAAGGCCGCGGACCTTGTCGCAACTAACCATAATAACCTCACCAAATCTAAACCAGAGGTGACCTATATAATATACTAATTTCAATGCCCAGTACAAGACTTGCTGCTTGTCAAAAATCAATTACCTTTATCGAGCGCACTACTACTTTCTTAAGTAGACTCTTTACATGTCACCTCTCGAAGGAGAGTGCGATTAATAAGTAGTTATTAACCCATAATTTACAAAAGAACTTTAAGGAAAACACATACCTAAATCCATCAGCCACAGGCTATCACACAACACATCCAACATAAACATTTTCAAGGACAATAAAACGCCATATAACAACGCACTAAAGAAAAGCAGACAAACGCAACAGCTAGAATACATACCACCACAACCAAAAACAGAAAAAGAAACATAATTTGATTTAACCCACCATACAGCAAAACCGTCAGAACAAACATCGGCAGAAACTTCCTAAATCTAATAGAAAATACCCCCCTTAGTAAAAATATTGAAAAAAAAACAACATAAAAGTTGGTAATAGGTACACTAAGAACACAACACAAATAATAAAATACCACAACTAAAAACAATAACATGTAATAGCGCAAACAAGGACCCCGAATTCAACTGCAGAGACAAAACCACATGCCCACTACAAAGAAAGTGCCTACGAACATAGTATACAAACTTTCGACATGAACAAAAATACAATGCAAACATTGGCGCTACAGAAAGAACATTCAAAGAAAATGCACAAACGACCTCTCATTCTCCAACATAAAATACTCCAACAGCACCAGACTATCCAAATACATATGGTAACTAAAAGACAAAAGCATCAAACCAAAAATAAGCTGGGAAATTATGAAGATCGCACCTGCCTACAATAATATATAATAGGAGATGTCTACTTTGCCTGCGAGAAAAAGTGGCAATAATCACCAACACACAATAAAAAACATTACTAAAAAAAAGATCGAAATTAATCTCAAAATGCAGACACGAAAAATAAATATCTATCACAGTTCAAGCCAAACGGATAACACCACCAACAAAAACTGAACGCAACAGGAAAGAACCTGCCAAAAAATGATAGAACACTAAAACACCAGAACATTAAAGCCACCAAAACATAACAACTAACAAGAATCAGTATCACTACCAGCACTGTTACCAACACTACCATCAACCCAACAAATACAAATACCGCCATAACAATTAGCACGGCTTTCACGAAATATATAACCATTAACACTCCAAAATTATTATTTTGTGACTAATAATATTACTTCAGTTATTAGGATTGTTGTTACCAATTTAAGAACACTTCATAACCATCACTAACACCTTTAGTAGTGCATTTTATCACTGTCGTTACTACTATTATTATTACTATCATTATCATCATTATTATGATTATTACAACTATTATCATCATTACCATTGTCATAATTATTTTATTTATTATTTTATTAATCCATTATTTAGTTTTATTCCCTTTTTTAATGTTATTTTTATTATCGTGGTCATTATTGTTTCCATCATAATTAAGGATAACTTTATTGTTCATTATAACCTATAATACATCAATTATTATCAATATACCAATAATAATATCACAGATAATATTAACATTAACATAATCACAATTGTTAATAACGCAGCAACAGTTATTGTTGTAAAAAATACAAACATCATCACCATGTCTACAGACAAAAACCAACTTAACCCACTTGTTGGAAATAGACCCAAATCATTGAGTGTAGGTATGCGTCTACATATGTGTGTATATGTGAGTGCATGTGAGCATGTCTTCCGGCGCAAGCGACTTGAAAAATGTCAAAGCCGCCTCCCCCCACTTGTCCCTTACTAAGAGAACATTCCTACATATTTAACGCTAGAATCTTGACACCAAAATAAACAGAATGAAATTGCGTACATACGTGTGCTCGAACTCATGAATGTGTAACTGCGCTTAAACCAAGATATGAGTCTGTATCTATGAACTGACATGCATACACCTGTATGTATGTGTGTCTATCTAGATGTATGTGTCATTCCATCAAATACAGAAAACACGCAAATAATCAAAAACAACGCATAAATAGATCCACTTTTGAAAAAATAAATCAGTTTGTATGAAGATCGCGAAAGCGGGAAACCCAGAGTTACAAACTACTATGCATGCAACCGCATATGTTAGCTTTATCACGGATATTAGCTGCTTTCAGTAAATATATATATATATATATATATGTGTGTGTGTGTGTGTGTGTGTGTGTGTGTGTGTGTGTGTGTGTGTGTGTGTGTGTATTAAAGCCCATTTAAAATATTTCAATTATTTAAATAGGATATGACATAATATTATGCACCTTGCGCGAAATTTTCACATTCTTACATATATTGCAGGCGTATCGAGTGCGGTAACATAGCAAAATCAATAAGTATGTATAATATCTAAGAAAAGTAATATGCAAAAATATGTATATATATATAAACATATACGAGATATATTAGACAAATGCTTGCGTAGAGCCTGACGTCAACACACACACACGCATACACACACGCACAAATTTATATATATATATATATATATATATATATACATGAACTGTAAGCAAAATAAACGCAGCAAAATGTCCTAGACTAATATGTCACACTTTAATGATTTCTGTCCATACTAACACTCATTAGGATAAAAAGTCTACAAAATAACTCTGCTTTAGTTTTACGCTATTTTATTCTATTATCCATTTGAAACTGCATACTGTGCAGTAGCACGTGCAGAGAAGCAGTCTTCGGAGATATCATAATGTGACCCTGTAGCTCTGACGCCCAGGGACTTAAGTCTGTGCATCTTATCGAGAGATAGGTGAATGCTGACTGCCTCATCAGAGATATGATGCTGTCAATGTTGCGGTTCGAATAAGTTATTTCACATCGAGATAATGTTCACTCATCAGTGTCTGAGGTCACCGATCTCATTATAGTGAGATAGTAACCTTCACGAAGAAAATATGATCCACAAGAGTATTTCTATCGCGATCAGTACCCAACGATATCATATCACATGTTAAGCAGCCGATTCTGTGAATGAACTCAAATACTTTCATTAGACTGTGAGTAATTTCTAACCCATACTAGTGCTATCGGGAATTTTTGATGTGTGTGAAACGCCAGATGGCAATAAGTGCATTTCATTCCTTATACGATAAAGATAATATTCTTTCGACACCTTTTTAAATAAGAAATTCTAGCTCTTAGTAATCATCTGATTATATGTTTGATCAAGATCCATTTTTCAATATGATTTCAAAATATCCATTAGATAAATTGAATTTTGTCATTTAGGTATTTTAGAATAATTAGCTTATACCTTTCAAAATGAGGAATAAAATGTAAATATTGGTATTTAAATGATAGAAGACTTCTAAAATCAAATAAATTTTTGAGTGAAAACTCAGCGGATTTTACTTACTTTGGCCTATCGGATTACGATCTCTAATATATTAAATATGCAACGAAGTGAACTTAGGAAAACTTTTCGCACGTAAATACCCTGTCACAATAAGTTAGGCTATCTTTGGTTCGTATCAAAGAATAATACTGAGTTACCTCTTGCTCTGGAATTTGATCTTCCTTTATTTCTATCCATATTTTCACCTTGTGTTAAATAAATATGCGTTTATCAAGCGTCTACAATGATACTTACTATCGATTTCTGTACGTTTCTCAATATTTACGCTGAGGCCATATGTTGAAATTGACATGGTGATTCTCTAAGCGTAGCTTAAATGTGAAACAAGACCGAAAGTATGGAACTTCCAGTGAGGATCGAACTCGCTACTCAGTTGTAACTATTCTAGCGAGAATTGCTAATCCATTACACCACTT